CCTCAGGGACCCCTCCACCAGGCGGCCCTGTGTCGCCCCTTGGTCATTTAAGATCCCCATCTGGAAGTCTCCATTGAGGTCCTCCTCCGGTCCCGGGTCCTCCTCCATGTCCCGTTTAAAGTCGCTGGGAAGAATCCGCAGGCCAGACTCCCCACATCGCTGTTCCGTTGTGTTTTGTGTGGACCTGTGATAGTCTGTATGCTGGTGGTTCGGGCTTCCCTTTAAAGTTGTCTGTTTTCCCTCAGTTGGAGTAGTCACTTGTGGCTGTGTTCGTACTGGTGGGACACCCTGTACCACCATCTGTATCCACACACTCCCCGTTGATCTGTTGTCCATAGGCGTCAAGGGCAGATATTCTGACAGCCTTGTTTCTTGCTCGGGTACAGGGCACAATTCTGCGACTAGTCCGGCTGCCTGTGCGCCCTCTTGTGGCAGAGCTCCCGTCAAAGCTACAATGCGATCGACCTAGCCGCCTTTTCTGATATAGTCCTGCATGTGATCCTTCATTTGATCCATCACTGTTTTCACAGTGCGGGTGACATGGTCAGAGACGAGTGGCGAGCGCATTTGCTGCTGTTGGGTGACCTGCTCCCCCCCGTCCAGTTGCAGCCCCACTTGCTGCTGTTGGGTGACTTGGTCCCCCCCGTCCCGTTGCAGCCATATATGGCCGTCTTAATGTATGTAACCCGAAAGCTATGTGTGCTCTGTGAATCATGTGTGTGTATCGAGGAGAGAACGGGGCAAGCTGGACAAGGACCACCCCCCAAGGTCCGAACCAAGCTCCAACCCGTGACCTTGTAACACGTAATCCAAGACTCCACCGTACGAGCAACTACCAGAAATGGAACGCACGTGTGATATGCCAGACTGGGCAGAACATCAGAACACCCAAGACCAACACCCCCAAGCAAACCTTGTGGCAAACCCTGTGGAACCCACAACCGACATACAACACAGTGGACTACCCTTGGGTGGTGCGCAGGCAGTGTCTGTAATAGTACCATGCATCAGCCCAACAGGGTGTGTGTCCAGCCGTGCGTCAATCTAACGCCCTGCCGGTCTCCATGCGCAAGGCTGCGGGGTTTTGAACCCGCAACCTTATCTGACATTGCACATTTCCAACCCGTGCTCTAACCACTGAGCTACATCAACCGGACTCGTTTTTGTGACTCTACATGAAATTACCATTTTTTTTTAATTTGTACGGGTGTGTGCTCTCTTGATGTGATTGACCTTGAGGCCCAGGTACTAGTGGTTTAAAGAAACAACCCGAACAGATGCTAGGGATGCTGGTATTAGCAGGCACCACTAGCACTATCGGGGGGGCTTCATCTATTGGTGGGGAGCAGCACCTGCTGGAAAGGGGGTCCAGCGTCCCTGAACATTGTGGTTGTTTGTATGAATGGACATGTGAACATGTGATTGTAGTAGTATCGGATAAGATAAACCCTTAAACCCTAGTGGCCATCCTTCTTCATATTGCCCGGGGTGCAGTCTTGTGCAGTGCTGTGACAGTGTGAAGTGTATTAAGTGTGGAGCTGATGTGGGGAGGCTTCTGCCATCCCCTGTTCCCTCCCTCCCGAAATCCATGAACAATGATAATATACAGAATGGAGATTGAAGTCGAGAAATGTGGATGCTATTTATCTCCCCTATGTCTACTAGGACCAAGATCCTGACTTTGTGAATTTGTACACAGACTGTGCCTGTTTCCCCTTCCGCCCTGCTGGACTGGCCTGCTCTCGGATATCCCTGGCCGGCAATCGAGATGAAATGTCAAGGTTGCAGAGACAGAAAGGGCAATGCCAGGAGGGTGGAGGAGGCAGAGAGGGAGGAGGGAGGAGAGTTATTGGCGGGCGATCAGGGCAGGTCGTGGGAGTGAGCGAGGGGGGGAGGGAAGCGAGAAGGGAGAAGGCAGGCTGGCAGGGAGGGGGGGAGCTGCTGCTGAGCGGGTTGCGGATGGGAGTGAGGTGGACGGGGTGTTGGGCACAGTCCTCTGATGAGATGAGAATGAAGGTTTTTTTTTTTTTTTTTGTCCATACTCACGAGACTCCCATCCTACCACCTCTCTCGATATATCTCCTGGCGCACCCCCACTCCTTTTTCTATCTTACCTCATGCGAGGGACATCACTCTCTACCGGAGCAACCTGACCTGACAGCGGATGCAAGCACTGATGCTGAAATGGGCTCCTTGGTATACCACCTGAAAGTGGTGCCTTGGCAGCCGTTCCCATTGCCTCTCCGTAGACAGCCAAGGCGTTGTCAAGGGTGCACAGTTTCCCATTGCTGTCCGTCCAGGTGGTTTTGAAGGCGTCCACTATGTGTCGTTTTCTAGTCTCTCAATGTGATTGACGTTGAGGCCCAGGAGCGAGGTCACTGGCAAAAAGGACTGGATTGAATGCCTGAATCTGGACGTGTTTGTGGAAAATTACAGAAAATTGAGATTGAACAACTTTTCTGAATCTCTGCTCTAAACCCATCCACATTCAGCCGCCAAATCTCCTCCTCGGTGCTGGTGGGAGACCAGCTCTGCCTGCCACACCTTGAAAATCCGCTTTCGGGCGCCCATGGCTGGCTGCAGTGTGGATCAGGGTACCAGCCGCAGGTGGTCGGCAGCTTTTTGCAAAATGTTGAGTGCGCCGACTCCAGTGTTTTTTGCTCAGAATTTGACCAAAAAATCTTTACGAACTCGGGGACATAGATTGAGTCTATCCAGGAAAAATTATGCGTGGAAATAAACGGCCTAGCTCAGTGGTAAGGCTCGCAAGTGGCATTCAGGAGGTTGTGGGTTCAATCCCCATCGGCCACATGTACCGTCCTGGGCATGCTTGGCGCCTGCCACCTAGAGATAGACCTCGGGATCTCCCGATCAGCGTTGAGCAGAGTCTGCTGAGGTTCGTAGGGGAGGGGATTGGTCCCGACGGTACGGGCTGTCCCCGGGCTGTCCCCTGGCCGGTATCGCCCACCTGCAGCTCGGCTCTGCTGAGTTCGTAGGGGAGGGGACTGAGGGGAGGCACAGGGCTTGGTCCTGAGGCTACGGGCTGTCCCCTGGCCGGTATCGCCCCGACCTGCAGGTCGGGAGCAGCCCCGCATGTTCTCTCGTGAACACGGTTGGGATTGATCCTGAGGCTACTGGTTGTCCCCTGGCCGGTATCGCCCTGACCTACAGGTCGGGAGCAGCCCCGCATGTTCTCTCGTGAACACGGTTTTTTTTTTTGGTTTGTGTTTCAGAGGGATCATGCCTCTCAGTGCTTAGGGTCACACACCACACTTTTTTTTTTTTTTTTTTTTTTCCAGGTTAAGATTTTTTTTTTTTGAGGTGACTATGACAAAATTCAGAAATCGACTCAGAGAAACCCCCCATCAAACCTCTACACCCCCCTCCGGCAAGACTAACTGCAACAGAGCCACCATCTCTGCTGCTGCTGTGCCATACTCCCATCCTACCAGCTAGCCCCCTCACTGATAGGACGCGTGATATCCCCCCCTTTTCTTCTCCCACCCACCCTATTCTCTTCTCAAGGTACGTCAGAACACATTACAGTAAAAGGGAGCATGAGAATAGGCCGCAGGGGTCCTGCAAATGATCCAAAAAATGTTGAGGTCCCTCACACACTTTTCCGAGGTCTTCCAAAACTGTCTTACTCCCTGCCGAGCTCTTCCAGGTCTCCCACCCCCACATCTAGCTGGGTTACAGGGCAACACGACTCACCCCAGCTCCGACCAGCGTCATGCCGTCAGTAACCCTTGGATGTCCCGTGAAATGCCCACCCCAAAGCATCCCCAGATCTTTCTACCAGGCCTCATGCTCCCGCGTTGCAGGTTATAGGGCAACTCCCCAGCGCCGGCCAGCGTCGTTCTGGCATCGGACAACCGCAAATCACAGAGTACAACAACCTCGAAACCACCTCAGGATGAGTTAGCAGGAATCTCAAAATCCTGAAGACCATCCAGGACTACCAAACGACCTAATCTTATTAAGATTTTAGCTATAAACTTTATGAGAACGGGGGGGGCGAAACTAAAACTCCTACTATCCAAAAATCCCCCCTCAACAGACGAAGTGTCAGTCCAGGCTTTCAGTCTTCGTACCATAACTCACTTGATCTCATACCCCCTCTCTGCTAGGGTAACAGGGCACCACAACCCTCCCCAGTACCGACCAAACTCGTTCTGACGGTCAGGAAGTGCCTTCCTCCCTCGGCAGTTCCTGTGGCGGCAAGCCCCTAACCGGTTACAACCCGGCGCCAGCCTCGTTGGACCCCCGGGTTACAGAGCACAAGCTCCAGCACCGGCCTGCGTCGTCCCAGAACCGTCCTTCTAACCTACCTACCCTGACCAACGACCCTCCTCTGTTAAGAACCCCTTCTACCTTCCATCCCCAATCCCAGCTTCACACCCCTAAGAAATCAAAGGCTTTTTGAAAATCGAAATTGGAAAATGAGATCAAATAGAAGGGGATATTCGAGAGTTTGTGCCACAGTGCGTACCAGCAGTGCAGAATCCGTCGAAAAGAAGGCGGGGGCGCAGCGCTACCGGGAGCGCTGCGCCCCGGCACCGACTGCGGCGACGGAGTGAGGCGGCGAAGCGGGAGGGTGCCTGACTCGCATCGGTTTTCGCTCCGACGCATTCATACGAACGAACTAAGGCACGGCGATGGCGTGACGGAGCCACTGGTGGGGTAAGGAGGAGTTGTTGGACTGGGTGTCGAGCTTACAACAGCTACTTATTAGGCGTTTTGCGCACGCGCGGGAAGCAAAGGTGCTGGTCTACACTGTATCACAAGTTGATAGGGAGATTAGACTGACTCCCGGGGCCTTCCTGGGAGTTCCGCGTCCATACTCCATTGCTGCTGCGTTTCTGCCCATGGCATAGAGCCTGTGAGGTGTCGCCTCTGGTGATGCCTATGGAGTTCAGCGGAGAGAGCCTTGGGTGACCCGAAGTGCGAGTGAAGTAACTGCCCGTCATCACCAGTGTCCTCGTTCATCGGCATCAGGGATCGGTCGAGACTCAATGGCATATGGTGAGGGTTTCCTCATCATCATCAGGGCTGCCCGTCATCGCCATCATCATTTTTTCGTGATCATTACGTCGCCGTTATCATCATCATCATCATCATCATCATTATCATCATCATCATCATCATCATCATCATCATCATCATCATCATCATCATCATCATCATCATCATCAGTAGCAGCATCATCATCAGGGTGCGGTTCATCATCACCATCATCATCATCATCATCCCGATAATGGTTCGTCATCATCATCAGGGCGCAGGGCGTCATCATCATCAGAGCGCTGGGCGCTGTTCGTCATCGAGCTGATGTTCGTCATCATCATCATCAGGGTTTGTAGGCATCATCACCAGCAACAGCACCAACGTCATCGTGTGCGTCGCCGTCATCGTCGTCATCATCATCATCATCATCATCATTATCATCATCATCATCATCATCATCTTCAAAATCAGTATCATCATCATCATCATCATCATCATCATCATCATCATTACCGTCGTGATCATCATCATCAGCGTGTTGGGCGTCATCATCATCAAGGCGCTGGGCGCTGTTCGTCATCAAGCTGAGTTTCGTCATCATCGGCATCAAGGGGGTGATTCGTCATCACTATCATCCTTTGGTGATTACAGGGCGCTGTGCGTCGCCGTTATCATGATTATCATCATCATCATCATCATCATCATCGTCATCATCAGGGTGCGGTTCATCACCACCATCATCATCATCATCCCGAAAATGGTTCGCCATCATCATCAGGGCGCTAGGCGTCATCACCATCAGAGCGCTTGGCGCTGTTCATCATCAAGCTGATGTTCGTTATCATCATCATCAAGGTTTGTCGGCATCATCATCAGTAGGGTGCTGCTCGTCATCATCATCACCAGCAGCAGCATCAACATCATTAACAGGAGGTGATTCATCATCACCATCATCCTTTTGTGATCGCAGGGCGCTGTGCGTCGTCGTCGTCATCATCATCATCATCATCATCATCATCATCATCATCATCATCTTCATCACCATCATCATCATCATCATCATCATCATCATCATCATCATCATCATCATCATCTTCAAAATCAGTATCATCATCATCATCATCATCATCATCATCATCATCATCATCATTATCATCATTATCATCATCATTACCGTCGTTATAGTCATTATCATCGACATCATTATCATCATCAGCATCATCAGCATCATCATCAGCATCATCAATTTGCAAGCGTAGCGTGCTGTGGGTTTTGTTCTTCAGCACGACCAGTATCATCATTCTACCTCTACTACCATCATCATCATTTTGTCATCCTTAGATATTGCGGTTCAAGGCCTTGTTTGCCATCATCAGTAGGTGAGTTTGGTCATCATCATCAGTATCAGCATCTTCAGGATACTGTTTATCGCCATCTGAAAATCCAAAAAAAAAAACAAAAAAAACTCTCATCTACCTTTTCTCTCCACCATAATTTTCTGGAATTTCTTGTTCTGATGGATGTGCTTCAATCGGGATAGGGCTTCTGTGGTCACGGTTGGGACTTTTTGGGAAAGGGGGGGGGGGGTAATTAGGGAGCCTTACTCTACAGCGGCGCTGCAAGGTGGGAGGTGGTTGCCCTGTCGGGGGTGAGGCGGATTTGTGGTTTGTCCTTGTCTGGGGCCGGGGGGGGAGAGTTGGTCGCCTTCAACCCCGGCGGGGGCAGATAGGAGCAAGGGGAGGGCGAAGGTATCCTCTAGGAGGGAATTGGCTGCCTTTGCGGAGAGGGGGGGGAGGGGGGTTGTTCCAGGCTGGGGCCGAGGAGGTTATGCTCGGCGGGGGCAGCATGGGACAGGGGTAGGGGGAAGTTTCTTTGCGCGGTGACTTTCAGAAGCTTCTTGGAACGGATTTCTTCTGTTACGCCTGGTAGTTTGAAATTTCTCAGACCTTTGAGGGTCTGCCAGTGGGTTGTACGGAGCTGCACTAGATTTCGGCTGTAATATTCAGGATCCGTGGTTGTCCAATGCCAGAACGACGCTGGCCGGAGCCGGGGTGATGCCCTGTAACTTGCCAAGGGTGAGGGCATGAGGCCGGGTAGAGAGATTTGGGGGTGCTATGAGGGGGGCATCCTAAAGGACAACTGGGGGTTACTGACACAGGACGACACTGGCCGGAGCTGGAGTGAGTCGCGCTACTCTGTAACCTAGCAGTAAGGGGGCGTGAGGCTTGGTTGAGTTTGTCAAAGAATAAGTCAGTTTCGGTGAGCTTTGTTAGGATCTGTTGGTAATACTTTAGATACTTGAGTTTTTTGAAAAATTGTTGTGGATTTCAGGAGAGTTTGTCAGGGATACTAATCATCATCATCATCATCATCATCATAACCACCATCATCATCATTACCATCATTTCATAGAACTACTAGAAGTCCATCATCATTAGCATCACCATCATCATGAGGGACGCTGAGCCCGGTTCTCAACATGTTCGGTTCGGTTACTCCGGGTAGACTGTGAGGACCCCGGCCTCAATCTTCATTTTGAATAAAAATTTGTTTCAAAAAAAAAAAAAAAAAAAAAAAAAAAAAAAAAAAAAGCAATCACATAAATTTTTGACATCTAATTCAGAAGATCAATCGCAGGCACAATTGGAGAGATTTCGAAATTTCAAGATGAAAAACGGAATAGGAAGTTAATTTTGATGTCCTCACGGACTTTCGAATCAGATTTCCAGAACTCTAGTTCAAGAAATCGCTCAAATCGTAGATCAGGAATTTGTAAACAGAGAAAGCCAACTGTAATCAGAAGGTTCTAGGCTGAAACGAATAGACACTCTAGACAGGACATGAGAAAGAAGATGCAAACTATTGATCAGGATCTATAAAAACACCTGGTACAAGAATACGGCATGTAGAATAAGAGATTAAACTTTTCAGAGTTCAGAACTTAGAAACTTACCACACGAGTCAAGATATTCCAATTGGGTGGCGAGAGAAACAACAGAAACTAAAACCAAAAGGCTCTGTAGCACCAATATTAGCTCGTCATCATTTGGATCATCACCAGGGATAACGACATAGAAAGGACGAATAGGTAATACACATTCTGGCGGACTATCGTGGGAACAGCCTAATCCCCGAAGCCCTAAGATACTACGGGAAAATAGAACAAAACTTAGGTTGACTTCTTTGAAAAACCGTCGCGCGCCGAGCTCCCATCCCCTCGTAAAATTGTCTCGTTCTTCGTAAAATCGCCAGTTCTTCAGGTCATCTCAAGACACTCCACTCCCGCCGTCTCTAGATCCCACTGCCAGACCGCCATCCCGACCAAACTCATCCCCCTCCTCTTCCTGCGAGAGGAACACCCTCTCCTCCCCATAGCCAGTGCTAGGACAGCCCTTTAGCAAAGTGCACTAGCCAGCAGAGATACTCAGGACACCGCCGCCTCCATAAAACTTCCCGAAGGCGATTGTGTTGTGAGTGACCGCGTCAAGCCCGTCAACGCAGAGCCTCACAGAGAGTCCGATCCCTGCACAGCGACCTTCAACAGCTGGATCGGCAGAAACAGGAGACGGAGAACGAGGTAGGAAGAGGGAAAAAACCAAGACACTCTCCCCCTTAATATCAGCTAGGAATTGGTGGGCGAGCAGAGGGCGTGAGTCGCTGGTTGGTCTGGATCAACCACTGATGATGATTGGCGTCTCGATGATAAGTACCCCCCTTAATATCAGCTAGACTGTGTATGGCAGACTAGGGCTGTGGGGGCGAGTAGAGGGCGTGAGTCACCGGTTGGTCTGGATTAACTGACGATGATGATAGGCGTTTCGAGGATAAGTACCCCGCCTTAAAATCTACTAGGACTGTGGTGGGTGAGTAGAGGGCGTGATTTACCAGTTGGTCAACTTAGGGGCTGATAGGAGATTGCTTGTGCCTGGCGTCCGAAGTTCCGTGCGACGTGGTTCGTTCGATTCCGCTTCCACCAGGGCTGGGTCATGGCTAGCCCTGGTGCCTGTCACTGCTGTTCGGTCCAAGTTCCCCTCGATGGGGGTAACGGTCCTGAGTGCTGGTCACACTGAGGTAGAATAGTAGAGATAGGGGGTGCGCTAGGAGTATTGACGTGAGGATGGGATGGGAAGGTAGCCTCGTCCCCTCAGGACGGCCATGGCTGACCGCTCCTGGCGATCAATGTGTGCCCAGTAACCGGCCTCTACAACACCCTGGGCTTAAAAAAAAAAAAAAAAAAAAAAAAAAAAGACACTCTCCTTCGATCTACCCCCTCCCTCTTCTTTCCACACGTGGCATCCCAGATCTTCCCCACCATAATCCGCCTCACACTACCCTCCACTGTCCACCCCAAAGCGCCTTCACTCTTCGTTGCTGTTGCAGCGCCGAAAGTTAGGAGGTCATTTAAGATGCTGGCGCCTACCACCACACCCCTCCCAACCCCTACCACCATCACCAACGTACCGCAGCGCCCTCACAACCTCGTCCTCGTCGCGAGTCACTCCAGCCATCACCTTCGCTCGCTCGCCTCGTGCTGCTCGTCACGCCCGCAGCGCCCTCACAACCTCGTCGCGAGTCACTCCCGCCATCGCCTTCGCTCGCCCGCCTCGTGCTGCTCGTCGCGCCGGCCAGTTCGCGCTGTAGCGGAGGGGCGCAGCGCTCCCGGTAGCGCCGCGCCCCTCGACATGCAACGGGAGATCCGACTCGTTTTCTGAACTTCGCCTCCAAGTACTGGTGGTGTAATGTAAGGTTTTGGTGGTTTTCGGTCACACACCACACTAATCTCTTTTTTTTTTCTATTTTTGGGATCATGCCTCTCAGTGCTTAGGGTCCCCCCCCTGTGATATGTATGTTTTTTTTTCTTCTTTTCCCGGGAATATGTCTGATTGTCTTAGGGGAATCTGACAGTCGGCACCCCGATGGAAATCCAACTAGCCATGTGTTTGGGTTAGTGTGACATGTGTGGGACGGGTAGGTCGCAGTGTGAAATAGGGAAAACAAAAGCGAAACACCATTTTTTGACCCCAAAAAAAGAACAAAAAACTGCTCTTCCCACCGATCACCTCTGCTCCAGGCTGTCAGATGTCAGGGACTGATTGACTACGGCTGTGTCAGTCCCAACGACTGCAGGTGAGTGCGTAAGCGGACCCTATCCATGGACAGTTGTACGAGGCGTCCTTCAAATTAGCCCCAGCGCACGCCGCTCCCTCCCTTGATCTCACATAAATCCTCTCTTCTTGCATTCTCTTGCCTTTTACTAGAGAGATTTTTTTTTGGCAAAGGGAGGCCAAGAGCAACGCCTTGCAGCATTTGCTGTAGGTGAGCGGATCGAACCCCCAGTGTCTCAGTCAAGGAACACGTAAAAGCCGTCAACATCGCTCTCCACTGACTGTCTAGATGAATCCAAGATTGGGTACGAGACTGACTGGGCAGTTTGTAAATAAGAAAGAGGCGCAGAGCTGATGGATCTCATTCTTTTTTTTTTTGTTCTATATTCTTCTCTCAACTTCTGTTTTTGCCTTTCACTACCTACTCCTAAGGCTATCTAGAGGGGACCATTCTGAGAAACAAACAAACAAATGCCATTCCAGCACAAATCTTACGTCAGCAGATGATTTTTTTTTTTTTTTTTTTTTTTT